CATCTCAGCCAATTACAAGACAGTAGAGACATTAAACGTTGAAGTTGTTATTCCATTTGTAGAGCTTACTTAACACCGGTTCTTTAAGTAATAAAGTGTGGTTGATGATGAACAGTCCAGCTCCATTTTGTTGAGTACCTCTGTTTTTGTCAAGTTCACGCGAGAACACGTGCATGCGCACCACAATTAGCAACTTGCGCTTGACATCAGCATAGGTGATAAGCAGCTTGAGAAAAGCTCTAGCCACGCATTTACCATACATTCACGCAACTTCGCCACTCCGTACTTACATGTGCGCCGCGTCTTGCAAAAGTAGTCATTGTTTAGTAGTCATTTAGTAGTGCCGGTGCGCATGCGCATCACCAGTGTGGGGATGGCGCGCACGACCGGTTGATGTGGCAGGAAAGCTTGGAGAAACTGTATTTCACATGTAAACAATAAGAACAATAGCTACTAAACGCGTCGAAACTGAAGTTGAGAAACCAAGAAGCCAAACTTTAAGTTTTCGTCGCCAAATGGAGCTGAAAAACAGCCAATTTGGCGGAAAGTAGGCACCATTGCCAACCCTGTCCTGCACCGTGGAGTAGCACCGTTGGGCATTTTTTTTTGTTATTCTGCATGTTTCAGACATTGATAGCAGAGCCTCCCCATTCCTTCGTGTGAGTATCAACAGCTTTCGCGCGGCTTAAAAAGGTTGCCAAGAGGTGCAGTCCTTTTGTTCGAGATCAAACGGCGAGGACAGACGAAACAGCCGCCCAGCACTATGCCTAACCCGAGGACAATAAGCGTGAGTTTAGGCAGTAGCGAGCGCGTAAATTAGCTGCTCTAGTGTCTGGACACCACTTGCGATCGCTTTGCGCGTGCTTCTCGGACCGCATCGCGACTCAATGATGCCTGCTGTGCAGCGCGAGTGGCCCCGAAGAAATGTCGCGACCTGAGAAGGAAAAGTTCCGCGACCGAAGGCCACAGCCCCTGCAGCAACTGCGCCGCGTGAACTATGTGGGCCGGGGCGGGCTGGTGGTGGACCTTGTGTACAACTTGCACGGCTCCGACAGCGCACGTGTGTGCGTAGCGTACCGGAAGCACCAGCCAGCCGCGCAGTATAGTAACCTGCTCGGTTGCGCGATGCGCCGGACGCCTCCTCCCAGAGTGCTCGCGAAGCAGCGATGGCCGGCGCTTATTCTTTCCCAGCGCTGCGGTTCAAGGACGGAGCGGCTCCTCCTTCGCTCGGCCGACGGCCTTCGCAGCATGCGGAGCGTACACGCACAAACATAGGCGGTGTCCTTGTCGCGGGGGGACCTCGTACGTACCGCCACCGCCGATGGCCCGCCGCCGCCGCGCACGGTTTGTCTTCTCCACCGGCGGGTGCGTTGCCTTGGGAGGCTCACGATGCGCGGTCCAGTTAGCTCACGCAGGGGGGATCCGCGTTCTTGGCGAGGCCCCCAGCCGGATTCCCATAGGCTACCGGGTGGCCTGTGCAGCTTTCACCATGAGCCACATGCGAAGCACCGGTCGGACGGCTTGTTATTACCGTTAGCAATGTAACCTCCCCTATGAGTTACGGTTTACGCGTAAAGGAATGAGGTAAGGTAATCCTTGCGTGCTCGTAAGTGCATCATCAGGACGGTTTTGGAGGAGTCTTTGCGCAGTGCACAAAATTGTACACACATTTTGTACAGACCGTAAACAGTTTTACCTTAATTACAACCACAGCCGAGGGTGTCCCACGTAGCCAGCTGACATTAATTTGATGTTTTTCGTCTAATTATTATTTCTTCTTATGAATAGCCTATAATCATTAATATCAATAACGACAGAAAAAGACAGATAATGGAATATCGCATACACATATTTCATGACCGTATATTCACCATTGTTTTTATTGCGTCAGCCGGTTAAGTCAGTGCAGTCTCGCTAAAAATAATACCGAACTAGCTTGTTGCTGCATGGCTTCTACATCCATTCTGTTAGACGATACGGGGGCATCTGCAAGCGAGGAGACCGTATACACACTGCGCAAATATGAAAAGGAACACTTCATCTGTGTTCAAACGGCGATAATCGCAAGCCTAAGAGCCGTAAGCATATCCACTGGCACTTTGTTTAGTAGTTTGTCTGTTGAAAAACATCCTTATTGTGGAACTTTCACTTATCACGTGAAATACACGAGGACAACTTTGGTTGTGGACATACATGGCGTTCGCGTTCAAACGACTCGCATTATTCTTATCTACTCACGCTCTTGCTTGTGAAAGCATCAGTTACAGGAGTGCGCTCGTCTCTCTCTCTCTCTCTCTCTCTCTCTCTCTCTCTCTCTCTCTCTCTCTCTCTCTCTCTCTCCCGCCAACATTTCCTGGCCACAAACGTTAGCAGCGTCAATTACTGGCTGTATTTGTACCAGAGGTGACATTACTCTGTTTGAGTGAACCAAGCTTGCATAACACAACTTCTTCATTTGGGACAGCAACAATGTGGTATTTATTTGACGTGCCTCATTCACTGTACACAGAAAGCTCGCCTTCTAAATTTTCTCACTTTCTCCTTCTAGGATCTGTCGACATCCTGCCACATTAGCAATTGCGCTTGATGGAACCGGCAATCAATTTTTATGGCACTGTTTTTTTTTTTTTTGAGCAACGGAAAGCATACCGGTCTGATCGATAGTCTAATCACGGAATGGTATAACTTCTAAAACGCCCCGAAACATTTGTTACCAGAATTTTCCTATTTGCGGCAAACATGGAGTCGTATATAGACGTGACAACACGTGCTGCAAACACTGCCATTGGCTCCCACGAAGGCAGCGTCGTTTCACAACGTGTCATGGCACTTCAAAATCATCTACTCCATAGCCTAGTTTCAATGCTCTCCCGCTAGATTGCGCAACATATCAGTTTTCGTTACTTCTAATCACGATTTTAATATATTGCGATCCGTCTTACAATATATAAATCCTACCCACAACGTGAAACAGATGCTTGAATATGCCACTATATTTCATGGTCTTTTCATTCCGATCATGATCTAATCACACGTTGGACAGTAGCTTAGCTCGGCCATGTCAGAATATTCGTAGCTTGAGCTACAGACGGACGGACGGATGGACTAGCAAACGAGCTATCTCATGCAAGTTAAGCGCGTCACTCCTGAAGCTTCCAGGCCTTCCGGGGGAGGGGGGGGGGCAGCTGTGCGCCGTATGAGGCCACTGCTCCTCGCACTTGCACAGAGCTGCTCACCGTAAGCCATGCGAAACTGCTCAACATCGGTCAGTGCTCAACCTATACGCTACAAAATAGGCATTGGATGAAACAAAAAATATAAACAGAAACGAAATCTTCGATGACGTCTTTAAGGGTCCCTGAATCCTGTAGTCATCAACGATTATACAATGTTTTTTTTTTTTCTTTTTTCCGCTCCGAACCTGATGGCGCTTAAGGGCAGTGCTCGGTAAAGTCCCTGGTTATGTTGTGCTCGTCCTGCAAGTTATGTACACACATATACATATACGAGCCGCGATGAACCATTCTTGGCCGAAATCATGCCCGCCCACCCGTAGCACCGACATCGGAAGAGCTGCACCGAAATATTGTTTGCGTTATGGCATAACAACAGCGCATATAGCGCTCACTAAAGTACTTAAATGAGAGCGCTTCACTGTAGTATACTTATAAACATAGTACATCAGCATGGAATCGACTTAAATGAATGGGAATAAGGAGAGTTCTAAATGCCACAAGCGAAGTACAGCGCGCGCCTATAATGCAGTGCGAGATCAGACACTAGCCGACGAGTACATGCACATGCAACACATCTGCGTATACGGGAACTGATGTAGAAGTGGTCATGATATCGAAGGACAGCGAGCTCTAAAAGAGAGTTAAGTAATGCTACAGTACTGCAGACTGCAGAGACAAGAGCATGCGGTGCGTGTACACGAAGTATGCTAATGTTTTCCGCGAGACAGCGCACGCGCAGAAATGCATATAAATGCTGGGGAATGAGGACATGTGTGGAAGTGGTAACCGGTTAATGCGCATCAGTGTCCGCACGCGCCATGCGTGTGTGTGCGTCGCAAGAATCTGGTAATTCGATGAGGGGCATGGCAGCCAAGCGGTGACATATACGCATTGCCCGAGCTCTCATCATTTCCCAGTAGTGTTTTTTTTTTTTTCCCTTTTAGATGCGAAGCAGATTGCGGTCAAGCTCAATCCGGTGTGCGGCGGGACTACCCTTACTGCGCATGCGCTCCCCCTCTCTCCTATGCCCCCCCCCTTCTCTCGCCGCACAACGCCGACGCAGGGAGCGTCTGCTAACCTACGCTCGCTCCCCCCTCTCTCATTCAGGCATTCTTCCCTGTGGCGTTTACACCCACATTGCGCGTGCGCGTTTCCTTCCTCTCTTCTTTTACGCTCTACCCCTCTCTCGCCACGCCGACGCAGGCAGCGTCTGCTAGCGAGCTTCTTTACTGAAAAAAAAAAAAAACGACTGCTAGCGCTTCACAACCGTTAGCTGGCCACCTTATTATATATAGGCACTGGAACTTGACCTCCAAGGTAGTGCCGGCGTGATATTTCTACTGTGCGTTATTGCACAATAAAAATTCACAGCGCGCACGTTGACTAAAAGCGGACTGCTGGTCTCTGTGTCCAATCGGAGACTCCTGTCTCCCATTGCATATTAGCAACGATTGGCATGTTCCAACAGAAAACACCGGTCCATCACTGTGTTTTGCGCCTTCCCAGGTTTCTCCCCTGCGCAACGCCGCGATGAGCGCCGGCGTCAACGCCGCCGCCAGTGTAAGCGTTAGCGCCCGCTGCTTCGCATCTATACGTATGGTTCCCTTTAGCAGGAGCTGGTGTAATTTTTTTATAAGTACCGTAAAGCCATACAGCCCGCTTGGTTGGTCGATTGGTTCACAATTGACATATATCTTAGGTTTGGCACAAAAATTGTCTAGCGAGAAAAGGTAGACGAAGTAACGAAAGATTAACATCGCCAAATAGAAGTAAAATAATTTATCTGCTGATGTATCGGCACTCGTGCGCATTGATTAAACTGAATGCATAGCGACCACTGGCTTAGGTGGGGAGGGGGTGGAGGGTCCACCTCACCACCACAAATGGTGGTGGACGCCCCACCCCTCCCCTTGAATAAGAGTTTGTGGCTACGCCTCTGATAGCGACATCCGTTTGACATCATAAAAGCTATATCGCCGTGAAAATGACAAGACTGCATTCAGAGGCAAACACGCACGGGCTCTGCTATGGCATCCGGCGCGCTGCACGGATTTAGCGACGAGAGAGAGAGACGCGGGCGGGAAGTATATGGTACGCGCAGAGCTCCCCAATAATAAACAGAGGCGGATAAACTCGATCGGGTCCCGTGAGGGCTTCTTCTTCGGCGTTCGTGACGAGGATGGCGGCGTGGACCGGTTCGTCCTTGCCCCCGATGGCCGACCTCGGTGCCTCACTGCTGCGGAGAGGGCGCCGCAGCCTGGACGATCCTCGCGGTGACTCGGTGCGCACCGTCTCGCAGCGGGCCCAGCAGGAAGCTGAAGTGGTCCTCGTCCGCGTACTCGAGCAGCTCGCACGAGATGCGCCGCCGGCCCAGGGCCTCGCGGTAGGCGCCAGCGGTGCGCCCGAACCACGGAGGGTCGTGCTCGCTGTACGTCACCTGCGCGACGACCAAACACGACTCGTCCACGATCGTGACGTTTTTGGCAGCTCTCTCCGTATATAGGAACTCGGTGCAATGAAGTTTCGGTTTAATTAAGGTTCAGTCTATGTATACACGTATGCCATCGCAGTACGCATCCAGTATACGTGCACAACCTTCAGCGCCTGATCTTTCTGCTTCCTCCTACCTCTTTCTCAAATCTTTCTTTTATAGTTTGCGCTGACATGGCACCCTTTGATGTCAACTAACTCGTCGAACAACAAGTCTTAAACAGTCTGCCTGTGGCGTCTTCGTTTTCTAGCTGTATTTGCAGCTTGGTAAAAGACAGGCAAAAAAATACTGCGAAGGCAGGAAAAAAAAAACAAGGGGAGGGGGAATGGTGGAAAGAAAACAAAACTCAGCGATTTTATTCAGGGGAAATTCCTAGGTGCCTGATCAAACGCAAAATATGACCGTCGGCGTCAACACGAGTGATGCGAACAAAAATCATGTGATGACGTCACAGGCCGCCAAAGGGAGTGACATCGTCACGAAGACGTTGTTACGAGCCGCGTCGGTGGCCGCAGCGGACCCAGTAGGTAGCATGGAGCTGGGTGGTGGTCGTCATTCCGCAGGCCACGTGGACGTTCAGAACTCTCGAGAGCTGAGGCAGAGGGACAGGCGTCAAGGAAAACTTAACAAGACGTTTATTTGCAACATGTTGGACAGTAACGTCCGAACGACGACTCTTCTCACGACACACTCCTGTTTTCTTCTGGCGGGCTGCTCTCCTTGCCTCGCCGTGCAGTTCCGAAGATATAGGCGGAATGTCTCTTCGGGGAACCAACCACTAATCGTGAGCACAACACAAGTGTCCCTTCACACACGTGGCAGGTGCACGTGGCACACGCGCGGGGACTCGGAAGCGACCACGCAGGAGAAATTCACGGCAGTCCCTCCTGTAGCACACAACCGGCCTTCCGCACATTCCAGAGGGGCCCGCCCGTAGCCACTGCCCCGCAGGCAAAGCGCACAGCCGAGACAAACAGAGCCGGTGCAGGTGACAACCCGCCCCCACACACAGAATGTCCGAGATGACGGGAAGGCACGCTTGGGGGCATCCGACCCAAGGTCTTCGTTACTGCTTTGTAACAGCTTCCCCCGGCGGCCGGCCGAGACCTCGACGTACGAAGGTCATCCACCTTTGTGGGGAGAGGTCGATGAAGACAATGCTGGTGTGCTGAAGCCGTGGACACCTCGATGCGGCTCTGCAGCAATCCCCTGGCACCCTGGTGATCTGCAGCCTCTGGTAGCGTCGTCCAAAATTGGAGAAAGGCTCCCGCTCTGCTGGCCAACATTCCTTCTCGAAAGACAGTACATGTGTCCACCACGCGAGAAACACAACTGCCAAGCAGGCAAGCGCCCAAACTCTCTTTCTGAGACCCACCAGGCTTTTAATTCATCCAAAACGACCTGTTCTTCATTACAATAGCAGCAGCAATTCTAACAACCCAACCTGAAATAGGCTGCTCAAATTCACAAACACGTGTCGTGATAAAGCACAAATTAAAAAAAAAGCAATTGTAAACCTGTCACACGCACAAAAAAAAAAGTGCCGCCATATCCACGAAGTGAATGATGATGAGTGGGCGAAGCTCTGGAGGAAAACCTGGTAAACCATGAATCTTCCGTACATTTTGCCTACTCGATTTTATTACAATGCTCCCCCTAGCGTACGTCGCCGCACTAAATCGAACGATTGCCTTCCACCAATGACACGTGCCATATGTGACATCATTCCTATTTTATAACATCTCGCATCTTTCATCATCAACTACAAGTACCACCGTCTAGTTTATAACATCTTGCATCTTTTCATCATCAGCTACAGGTCCCGCCATCTAGTGAGCACTGAAAGAACTAAACGAGAGGTGGCTACATGCAGGAGACGGTGCCGCCATCTAGTGAACACTGCAAGAACTAAACGAGAGGAGGCGACATACGAGAGACGGTACCGCCATCTAGTGGACACTGCAAGAACTAAACGAGAGGTGGCTACATACAGGGGACGCACAGCCCACGCCTTAAGGAGCTTCGCCCCTAAAATGGAACCTAAATACCCAAGCCAGATTACCTGACGCCATCAAGATCCCTAGAAACAACGACTTAAGCCGTCAGCGTTGCCATTCAATTTGCCTCTCTTGTAACGAATTTCGAAAGAGTATTGTTGCAATAGCAAGCTCCAGCGAAGTAGCCGGCCGTTCTTAGGTGACATCATTTGCAACCACGTGAGGGGACAGTGGTCCGTCTCGATAATAAACTCTGATCCTTCGTTATGTGATTTAACCTCCGGTAATCAACGCATGGTCGCGGATCTTTCCCAGGAACCTCCACTAATATAAGCGGAGAGGTATAATCGCTTTCACAAGCTTCAATCACATCGAGCTCGAGCATTCTTTTAATCTCGGTCTCAATAATGGCACGCTGACGCGGCGACACTCGATACGCCTTTGACCGCACGGGCTGAGTGGCCGTAAGCTCTATGTCATGCACTACCAAATTTGTTCGGCCCGGTTTCTCCGAGAACAGGTCCTCATATTCTATCAGGAGGCTTTCTAGGTCACGCTTCTCGTTAGCTGTGAGCTCAGCTACCTCAACCATGGCCTTGAGCGTTTGACCAGCGTTATCCTTCTTTATTCCCGCTCCCGAAAAGGGGAAATCTAGTGGTGGCTCTTCGGGCACGTTTACCACTTCTACCGAGCTCAGTTCCTTTAAAGGCACTGCCTCAGGAAACTTGGTCGCGGGACAAATTTCTGTTAAGACATGACGGTAACCGGATGTTGTTTTTAGAAGAGACCCTACTGTGTCGATCACGAGTCGTCGAAAGGGCTCAGTGATCACTGGCACGAGCTTCATTGGGGCACGAACCTTATCCCCTGGTTTTCCTACACGCTGACAGGTGTCGCAGGTTCTGACAAAATTCTCTATTTCCCGGAAACAACCCGGCCAATAGTATTCCTGCAGCAGGCGATCCTTCGTTTTTTTGACCCCCAAGTGACCCGACCATGAGCTACCGTGAGCTAAGTGTAAAAGATCACGGCGGTAACGTTCCGGTACCACTAACTGATCAAACTGCACCCGTCTGCGATCTAGATACTTACGATAAAGTATCCCGGCCCTGTTCTGATACATCACGTTTTTCTTAGAAATACCCTCCTTAGTCTGACTCCTTATATTTTGAAGAGTGGGGTCTGCTCTTTGCTGCTCTATAAGGGACGATCGATCCACTCTCAGCAAAGTCTGCAGGCTACTAGATGCAGGAGTAATCATCTCCTCACACACACTTCCAGATTCAAGAGGGTCTTCCTCGTTTTTATCCGCGCCTTCATCGCTCACTTGATCAGTGTTTGTTGTGATCGTGTCTACCGTGTTCGTGGGCTCTCCATCTCCGGCTTTCTCGGTGATTCTCGAGGGAACATAGAGCGGTGCGGCTCTAGTTGCGAGTTCTCGCGCCTTTGAGCGAGTGAGCGCGCACACAACCCCATCCCCGTACGCTAGGTTCTTCTGTCCTAGTAACCAATCGGATCTGTTTGAAAACAAGTATACATACTGCTTTGGCAAATAAGCAGATACTGCAGCCTCTGTGTGCAATGTGCCAAAGGGGCCCTCGATGCATACCTTAGCAATCGGAAGGCATACGCTTGATGGTTCCGCTGCTTGTTTAATCCAATCGCACTCTCCTGTGAAATGTTCAGCTTCAACATACGAGGGATGGACCACGTCCATTGTCGCTGCCGAATCCCGCAGCACGCGACACTCTTTTCCATTTACTATCAGCTCTCTGATATATGGCTCCAGCAGTCGCATGTTTTCACCCTCGCTGTCGACTGAGAAGCAAACAACTTTGGACTCTTGCAGACGGCCGCAATGTGACCTGGCTTGTGGCATTTATAGCACACAAGTGGTCGCCTCTTTTCAAACGCACTGTTTTGGTGCTTTTCCTCAACCGTGGTCTCATTACTTACCTCCCGTTGCTTTTCGGGACCAGTGTTGCGCTCTCGATTCTCTTGGACTGAATGTCCCCTCCACCCAGTTGCCTTTTTGATTTGGCCCTCCCACTGGGGAATTTCTCTTCTATCAAGCGCGCGGCGCGAAACAAAATCCTCCGCTAGCTCCACGGCCCTCGACACAGTGGTTACCTCCTCCCTGTCTTGCACCCAGAGCCTAACGTCTTGGGGCAAACGACGGTAAAACTGCTCGAGTCCGAAACACTCCACGATTTTCTCTTTATGCTCGAACGCCTTAGCCTCTTTGAGCCACTCCCTCATATTAGACATTAACTTGTATGCGAAATCAGCATACGACTCGTCTTTCTGCTTTACGGCGCTCCGGAACTTCTGCCTGAATGCTTCTGCTGACAATCTATATTTCTTTAGCAGGCTCGACTTAACTTGGTCGTAATCATCTGCTTCCTCTTTTGTCAAGCGGGCAATTACCTCGGCAGCCTCACAGGGTAGTAGGGTAAGCAAGCACTGTGGCCACATCGTTTTGGTAACACGCGACTTCTCGCATGTGCGCTCGAAATTTACCAAGAACAGACCCATGTCCTCTCCGGAGCGGTAAGGTTGCATTAGGTCTTTCATCCTGAACGACTTCCGTTCTACTCCGCTAGACGCTTCGCTACCTTCACTACTACCTCGAGCCTTGAGTAGCTCGATTTCAAGGCGTTTCCTCTCAAGATCCCTTTCTTCTGCTTCGCGTATGAGCTTCTCATTTCTCTCTTCAGCTTTGCGCCTTTCATGTTCGTCTATCAGCTCTAGACACTCTGAGAGCTCGTCGTCGTCTGCGTTAAGGTTCTCAATAGCCTCGATAATCTCTGGCTTTCTCATTTGTTCACGAACATCCAAACCCAAACTTTTAGCTAACTCTAGCAAAAGCGGTTTTTTTCAGTGCCTTCAGATTCATGGTTGCTACAAGTGCTGCTAACTTCACTACTACTAGGACGCTACGTTCCCATGCACAGGTCAACGTAGAGTAGTTATCCAAATTTACCACCTTTCCTACAAAACTCTAGATAAAGCCTGGTAAAATCTCAGTGAAGAAAAGTCAAGCACTCACCGCACTCTGCAGCCATGATCTCAGCGGAGACGATTCCGATGCTGGCCCGAGCTTGTTGCGACTTGGCGTGAGCAGAATCCCGTCGCTGCCATCCAGTTGTTACGAGCCGCGTCGATGGCCGCAGCGGACCCAGTAGGTAGCATGGAGCTGGGTGGTGGTCGTCATTCCGCAGGCCACGGGGACGTTCAGAACTCTCGAGAGCTGAGGCAGAGGGACAGGCGTCAAGGAAAACTTAACAAGACGTTTATTTGCAACATGTTGGACAGTAACGTCCGAACGACGACTCTTCTCGCGACACTCTCCTGTTTTCTTCTGGCGGGCTGCTCTCCTTGCCTCGCCGTGCAGTTCCGAATATATAGGCGGAATGTCTCTTCGGGGAACCAACCACTAATCGTGAGCACAACACAAGTGTCCCTTCACACACGTGGCAGGTGCACGTGGCACACGCGCGGGGACTCGGAAGCGACCACGCAGGAGAAATTCACGGCAGTCCCTACTGTAGCACACAACCGGCCTTCCGCACATTCCAGAGGGGCCCGCCCGTAGCCACTGCCCCGCAGGCAAAGCGCACAGCCGAGACAAACAGAGCCGGTGCAGGTGACGACCCGCCCCCACACAGAATGCCCGAGATTCCAGAGGGGCCCGCCCGTAGCCACTGCCCCGCAGGCAAGGCGCACAGCCGAGACAAACAGAGCCGGTGCAGGTGACGACCCGCCCCCACACAGAATGTCCGAGATGACGGGAAGGCACGCTTGGGGGCATCCGGCCCAAGGTCTTCGTTACTGCTTTGTAACAACGTCTATTAACTTAACGTCACGCGATGATGTCATCGTATAACATCGTCGCTCGGCCAAAGGTGGGCCGATCCCGGAGGTAGTGCAAAACGAGATCAGGTGCAAAAAGCTTCTAATGCCTCCGATCCGGAGGCAATGGAAAATTACACTGGGTGCAAGAAAATGGGGGTGGGGTCAATACTAGGGGTGTGCTAAATTTAGAAGCGAATGGAATACGAATCGAATAGTGATTATACCGAATCACTTTTTTTACATGTCATGCTATCCATATAGATATATATAAATATATTTTACAGTTTATATTTCCAATTGAATATAGTTAATGAGAGCATCGTCATTTATTTGTATCTGTATATCATTTTTAACCTTGTATTCTCTTATTTTTGCACTGCTGTTGCCAATCAAATACTTATGTTTACATTTCATAGGAGGTTCCATTTCAGTGTATACTACAGGACCTCCTTCTGTATATTCTTTTTTGTACATCTTATTATGAAATATTAAAACTTGATTTGATTTGATTTGAACACGAATCAAATACTATTCTAATAGGTTGCGAATAGCAAGGCAGCCATTTTCAAGACTGGCCTAGAATTCTTCCAACTTTTCTTTTTAAATCGAATAATGGAAAACTACACCAGAGTAACAAGTGACAAGAGGTACAGCAATTAACCAATACCTAACAGTTGAATGATGTTTCATGCAAGAACATCGAATCTCGTCATAATGTACGTTGACTGAGGACACATTCGGCTTCAGCGGCACAGAAGTTTAAAGCGAGAATTTGTTCAATCTGGTAATGAGTAAGCCTTCGGTAGTCCCATAAAAGCTTAAACCGCGTGCAACTTGGCAATCATGGTTTTAAAAATTACCGTTTGCTCTTCCAACACAACAATTTTATTCGTGGATCGAATGCTTCTTGTTGCTTACTGCACCGTAACAAATTTTAAAATGCAGTACCAACTCGCCCAATCATCTAAACTGGTGTTTCTCCCGTGTTTCGTTTTCGCTGCTGCCTTTACAAACCGAAGAACCTGCTCGAAGGCATACATGTGGCTCTGCAAGTTTTGATTCCAGAGATGCAGCCAAATGGAAACCGGGTGCCGGCCCTCAAGGGGTTAAATATAGAGAGAGGGGTACCTATATACGTATACCCCTATCGCAGTTCACTATACAGCATGTGGATTAGTTGGCTCATTGTTGACATAGCGCATGAGACAACAAAGCATGCGCAGGTGGACGCATGCAACTATTTTGTTTCCGTAAACCCTGAAAAGAGAGAGGGAGAGAAAGATAATTGCACTAAAACTGACATCTGGGCGAATCGGTATGTGTCCATACTTCAACCAGTGCCAGGAGGCACTGCTTCAACATTTAGGGGCGAAGCTCCTTAAGTCGTGCGTCCGCGATGTATGTAGTAGTAGTAGTAGTAGTAGTAGTAGTAGTAGTAGTAGTAGTAGTAGTAGTAGTAGTAGTAGTAGTAGTAGTAGTAGTAGGTGGTGGTGGTTACCTCCACGGCCGGACTACAGAGTAGCGGCCCGCGCGCACTCTCTTGAGTTGAGGAGGAAACCCGCGCACGTTAATCATAAATAAAAAGATAGTTGTTTCTGATGAAAGAACCTGCAGAGACGACTATTGGTGACTTAATCTCCAATAAAATTTGCCTTGAATTGGACGCTTGAATTAGAAAAATTAGAGGACGCACTTTGAGCACTATGTCTCACCAGAAACGGTTGCCATGTTGAACTCGCTTGGCGTAACCTCCTTGGTTTTAGCAAGTTTAGCGAAGGTTGGGCCGCAGTGCCATGAACTAGCGGCGGTGAAACTTGGTGAGAACTAGACACGAAGTTCAGAAGAGAGTGCACGCGTGCTGCTCCTCTTGTCCGACCGTGCCACCTCTCGTTTATTCCCTGGAATGTCCGCTGGATGGCGGTACTTTTATATGACGAATATAGGATGAAAAGATGCGAGAAGGCGGTACTTGGAGTGTACACTACATGGACGGACGGACGTATGAACTGGCGCACGGACAGACGGACAGGCATGCACGGACCGACGGATGGACGCATGGATGGACGGACGCACGAATGAACGCAGGGACGGACAAACGCATGGACGGACGGACGCACGGATGGTCGCACAGACAGGCGGAAGCAAGAACGAACGGACGGACGGAAGTGCGGACGGATTGACGGATGCTTCGCCCCACTCATCATCATGCATTCCGTGGATATGCTGGGAATTCTTTAGTGTCTCTTTCTTTCTTATAATTGTCTTCTGTGCACGCTAAGAAAGTTAAAACAAAGAGAGAAAGAAATAAAGAAAAAAAAAGCTAAATCTGAAGGGGGACACCGGGTATTCCCCCGAGCCTGAACGCAAAAAAAGTCAGGACCGCCCCCCCTTGCCACCTGATTTACGCCAATGGTAGTAGTAGTAGTAGTAGTAGTAGTAGTAGTAGTAGTAGTAGTAGTAGTAGTAGTAGTAGTAGTAGTAGTAGTAGTAGTAGTAATGGCAGCAGCATTAGCAGGCACCACGCAGGCGTGGCCGGATTGAATAAGAAAATCAATAAAACGAAATAATGATGATGATAAATGATGCTGCTCGAAATAATACAGACGAAGGTGTTAATGATGACGATGCACGTGACGTTGCAAAGCCAATCACAGACACTCGCGCTCTTACAGTTTCGGACGCTTTTTCCCGTCGTGGAACGGGCTGAAATTTTACGAGAAACAAGATAAAGCCGCCTTCGGAGCCGAGCCGGGACTTACCACGATGTGCAAGTGGGTGGGCAGCTCGTCCACCAGCTGCAGAGGGCTGTTGCGCATCGCCTGATCGGCACTGATGGCGGCGTCTCGTGCCACGGAGCTCCCCAGCAGCGCCACTACGTCCAACACGGGCGACAGTAGAAGAAGGCTTCGCAAGCGCGATTCCCCTGCGTGCGCCGCATTTCGTAAGAAACTGCTGCTGTGTCATTGGAGCTCGAGGTATTCGTTCGATTCCATCCAAATACGCTTGTTTGAAACCATGGCTGTACCAGAGTCACTGGCCGTATTCAGGAATTTTTTTCGGGAAGCGAACGAGGGGGGGGGGGGGGGGGGTATAATGGTTAGCTTTATTGGCAACTGATGGTTGCTGTGAAGCCGTGTAAACACTTTAGTATCACCAGAAAAGTTAGACCAATACAAAATCTGCAGAGGGCAGTCAAAATCCTCTCAAGACCCCCCACCTTTCTTCTTTCTAGATACATACCTGTCAAAGGGACCCTGCCGCACTTTATGGTATGGTCAGAAAACGCGGCCGGTCAGGTGTTGAAGCTCCTGAGAACGCGTGAAACGGTCATTCTAGCGCAGCACAATAGAATAAGCAATAAAGATATAAAGAGCAAAAAAAAAAAAAAAAACACGCACACGCCAAGTTTTCCTTGTTTCCATTTTTCCTATTAGAGAAAGTCTCGTGAATTCTTTTGAAGCTATAGTCGAAGAAATTGCCGATCCTCAAGGTTCCTGACTAAAAAAAGTGTCGAATATTTTATCTCTGCCCGCAGCAGATAATTTATCATATCGTGTCGAAAACGGCCACAAATCGCTCACCATTTTAAACTAGCAGGACTTTAACCTGTGGCATTCTTTCGTGCTCTCCTATGGTTTATCAGTTTGTCAAATATATATATATATATATATATATATATATATATATATATATATATATATATATATATATATATATGCAGGAGATTCGCGATGCAGTAGAATCCGATAGAGGATCGTTCTGTATAACTTAGAAACGGTGTTGGAGGGCCCCTATAAGAAGGTATTTTTGATCTGTTAGACTAAATATAACTTGCGCTAGTCACTAACGAAAAATACATCAGTGTCTAATGAAAGCTATGTCGCAGCTATACACGCGCCGTGGGAACTGATTCCCACGGCGCGTGTATTTCGGTTTATATGCGCAGAAACCAAAGAGCGGAGGTAGCAGGCAGTATTCCACCGACCAATCCCTTCTTTTCTTTCAGAACAGCTTTTGGAGAAGTTTCCAGTAAGGACAGCGCCTTTTTTTTACGACCCGCTGTGCTTTCTGCTTACGCTCATTATTAAAAATAATGTATGAGATTTAGCGTCCCGCAACCACGGCATAATATTCATAGACGTCGTAGTGGAGGGCTCGGCAATGTCGACCATCTGGTGTTCCTTCACACGCACTGACCTCGCACATTACACGGGCTTCTATCGTCGGCGCCTCAATCAAAATGCCTCAGATTTGGGTGCACGTTAAGGAACCCCAGGTGGTCGAAATTTCCGGAGCCCTCCACTACGGCGTCTCTCGTAATCATATGGTGGTTCTCGAACGTTAAACCCCACATATCAATCAATCAATCAATCGATCAATCAATAAAAATGCAATCCCACAGCCAGGATCGAATCCGAGCAGCTTTGGCGTCGGCAAGAGTTCGTCATGGGGGGGGGGGGGGGGGTATAGTGTGCAAACTATTGCTGCTGGGATAAGGGGTAGCCGGTGTATTTTGGTTAGGATAATGCTGGTGCGGCTTGAGGGCAGCAAACTCCCCTTTCGCAATCCTCTGGTGACGCCCATGGTCAGCATGCCGAGCTCGCCCCTTAAATGTCTCATCAAACGCGAAAAGTGACCATCCGCGTCGACGCGATTGGCGCGCGTTTAAGACACCATGTGACGTCATCGTGACGTCACAGGTCGACAAAATTTGTGATGTCGTCGTGACGCCGCAAGATGACGTTACCACAAAACATCACCGCTTGGTCAAAGGTGATCAGGTCCCGGACGCGTTGCAAAATCACTTTCAGAGCAGGAAGCTTCTAGGGGATGAAGAATGACACTGCAGTAGAATACAGAGAGAAGGAAACTTGGCTAACTTTTGCCTTGGAGTCGACTTGTAAAGCAAATACATACGGGCCTATGCATCTTCTATTTCTTTCGCTACATATACATATCGGTTCGTTTCGTAACCATGGTGATCTATCGAGTGCAAAAGCGAGTCTCACCGTGTAGCCGAGTGGCGACCATGGCGGCCAAGTGGGCTCCCGCCGAGTGTCCGGCCAGCACGAGCGGTCCAGGCCTGAGCGCGAGCACGTGTCGGGCGCAGCGAGTGGCCGACTCGACGATCTGGTCGAGCGTGGCGCTGGGTGCTAGCGGGTAGCCGGCCACGGCAACGGCCATCCCGGCCTCCACGAAGGCGTCGGCCACGAGGGCGTGCGACTGCCGGTCTCCTTCGACCCAGTAGCCACCATGCCAGAAAAGCAACGTCGAGCGACACTCGTCCGGCTGTCGATCGCCGTAGTACAGGTCAAGGCACTCGCGAGGGTGCTTCCCGAACCTGCACGCGCGTGCAGAGTGCGAAAACAGAAACGATGCGAAGACGAGTTCGTCCCAGCACCCACTCCTTCTCCCTCTTAAAAGACAAGTCTATGAAGTGAATGTAAGTGCAGACTTTGTGCATCCTTCTCAGGTAACTAAAAGACGACTCCCCTGCCCCCACCCCACCCCGTGCGCACGCCCATGGTCAAGCATTACGACCACTAGCTAGATTATCATGGCTGGTAGCAGAGCTCGGAAACAGAAACAATGCGAAGGAGAAGCACTTTGATGCTACACTCGCCGCTGACCGCAGTCTTCTAGAACAATATCTTAGTTTCTTTATGGGAGCCAGAAGGACTGTTGCAGAAGTAGTAGTCAGTCATAATACTGAAGTATAACCCCGCCCACCCAAAAAAAAGAAAGAAAAAGAAAACACCATTACCCCCCCACGCTCTCCTTTCACCCAATACACTCACAGAATTCGGGGGGGGGGGGGGGTTACTGCAAGATCAGAGGGACTGTGTTACTCTCCCCTGAGTTCTGTTACTCCATGGGGGAGTAGAGCAGAGTTGGTTGCGGAACATACTCTTTCGTTGAATGCGGAGTGAAAGAGATGGCGAACTCCCTGCTACTCAAGTAGAGTTCCCAATCTATGCAACTCTCGTGCTGATGAGGCGTGAATGGGATATGGCACTCTGTCCTTGCTGACCTAGCACTTGCATGTTACCACCGACGCCGCAAAGCAATAAAACTGTCTCGATAGCCATACGCCTCTGAGCATAGACGCCCCAGGTGTAAGTATAATGCGTCAAGTAATAGGATAACCTCAGTGATAACTATGGCATGCTTGTGTGATCATGAACGTTCAGGTCCCGAAGCGCCACTACCGAACACCTTCGAGCAAGAAACAGCGGCAACATCTAAAGCGTCGCCAAAAGTTAGATTATCACACAAAATGCTGCGTGAGTAAGGTAAATCTCAGCACATATCATAAAAAAAAACGTCGAAGAAAAAAACTTGTACGGCGGGGTTTGAACTCACCGCCTATGTCGTTCCGACATAACAAGAACCGCAGGAAAGGAACGACCGGAAGGTGTCTGAACGGTCAACTGAGAGAACACGCAAACGATGTTGGAAACGGGAACGATGGTTTTCTTGCTCTTCACTGCACTGAGTGCAACTGTGTGTCCCTTTTCAAGGATACAGTGACGCTGTATAAGCACAGGGATGAGCGCACCCGAGTTATTGTCGAGGTGTGGCAGCTTGGGTTAGGTTGTGAGGTGGCAGCTTGGGTTAGGTGGTTAGGTTAGGTGGAACGAGTTGGAAGTTAGCGCTCGTGTCCTTCGTGTCCTTCTTGTCTCTTTGTCGTCGTTCTGATCTCGCGCTATAACTATCGTTATTGTCAAGGCCGTGCAGATGGCACGCGAACAGGTGTCATGCATTAGCAAGCCATACGTGTCTCTGTCCGAGAAGGAACTAGAGCTCCTCGAAGGTATCGGTGTGCGAATGTAATCATGTTTCTTTTACTTTAACTTTTCTGTTTCGTTTCCTTATAGACTTTTCTTTGCCTTTTTCTGTGCTTTTGTTCTTTCCCTTACTCATGCATTGCTCTTTGTGCCACATGGTATTTGTCACATGGTTTACTGTCTCCTCTATAGGTTTTCGCGCTTTGCGCAATAAACTCACTTAAAAGTTAGCACTCGTGTCCTTCTTGTCTCTTTGTCGTCGTTCTGTTCTCGCACTATAATTATCGCCATGTCATACCAACCAGCCCAAACTGCCACACTTCTGTGAGAGAGTAGCGCAGCTCCCGCAGAACGTGTATGAACTCTATTTCAGAAGCGTGGCTGTATACCCTGGCGAGGGAGCTTGTTTACTCTCGTTCAACCAGAGTATACCAGCACTCGGTCAAGAGAGTGTGCCCACTCTGTGCAGAATAAAGTTCCCAGCACTTCTGAAAAGAGATATAAATATGGGACAAGCCTCTACTCCCGCAAAGAGAGTTGCCAGCACTCTCTTGGGGCTGTGAGTGTAGAGTAGCACTCTACAGACGCGAGGCGGAAGGCGCTATGACGCCGAATGACAAAGAGAGAAACACACAAAGTTAAAGTACACATATTCTATAGATCACTTTTGCACGTTATGCCACTGGGCTAGTTGTTGTTGATCGATGATGATAATGTTTATTGTTTACCCGGAAAACAGTAAAGAGCTGACAGTTTTGCCAACGTCCCCTCTATTTTAGAACGAGGCGTGCGCTGTGATATAGCTCCTCAGAAGCGCCCGTACATGCCTTCTCGTGTAATCTCTTTGACTGTAGCACACATGTTCGAATCCTATTTATTATAAGCAGCGAATCATATATGCCTAGAAATGCCAGGATTAAGAACACATAAAAGATTAAAACGACACTTCAGCAGGAGAAAAAACACGATTTTCCTAATGAATGTGATTTGAAAAAGTGTTGAAGTGATGCATGGCGCCACGATTCGCTAGCGAAAGCAGAGTCCTTCTTAGATCCACCCACTGAGCCCGTACCCAAACCTTCCTACTGGTAATATTGTTTCTAAAATTTACCGTATATAACCGGTACTTTCTCACGACAGAAACACAGCCTGCATCTAAATGTATAGCTAAGGAGATAATACACAATGTTACTAGTGCGCAGAGATAATGTGTAGGGACACACGTCCATTCTGACTTTGTACTGCATAGGGATAATGGTATTTGACTTGTAATGACATGCCAGCCCTATCTACCGGTGACGTGGCTCATCAGATGACATTTTCGTGACACGCCATCATTCCCTATCCGTTCTGATATTCTCAGTACTACTCTTGTAACAGCTACCTGTCAATTACATTTGAAGGTTCGGAAGGCGAAAAAAAAAAGCGGGGGAAGGGAAGAGAGTTGGGCGTCTCGTATACGGCCCTCGTTTTCACCAGTTCTCAAGGACTGCAGGGGAGCTCGAGTCCTCCCCTGACCGTCCTGCTTTTTCTCCGAAGTCGCGCGTCTCACCTGATGTCCTTTTGCGCACCCAAGCGGACCCTGGTCTTCTCGCTCAGACGTGCCGTCTCCTTGACGTAGTGGTCGATCAGTTCCTGACCCCGTAGCCGATGGCCCCAGCAGCTGGGCAAGAACTCCGTGTCCTCCATGACCGCTTCAGCTGCATGCACTGAGAACGCGAGCAGAGATGGGCAGTCACGCTGTAGCGGCATACATTTATGGTGCCCTAATCTGCTATGTGCCTCCCCCCTTTTCACCGCCTCCTTGTCTGCCTGCCGACTGGTGATAACGTGTCGGGACTATCTGCCGGTTGTGTCGTGCATGCTCATCAGCACAGGCGTTCTTGTACATTCCCCAGTTTCTGTCTTTCCTTCAAAATATGTATAATCTTGAAGCAACAAAATCCACTTACGTCTTGATGCCTGGTTTAAATTTACACGTGATACTTTGAACCAAGCTAAGGCCAAATGGGGGCCGCAGTCCCGGGCGACGACGCGGAAAAAAAGAGCAACTAAGACGAATGCCATTTTTGTTTAAGCCGGTGAGTGTAATCCCCCACCCAGCGCGCGCCTCCGAAACTTTTCTGCACATGATCTGTGGTTGCATTGCTTTCCTCGTCGGCCCACTTAGCGACGATGTTATGTGATTGATTGATTGATTGATAGATTCATATGTGGGGTTTAACGTCCCAAAAGCACCATATGATTATGAGAGACGCCGTAGTGGAGGGCTCCGGAAATTTTGACCACCTGGGGTTCTTTAACGTGCACCTAAATCTGAGCACACGGACCTACAACATTTCCGCCTCTATCGGAAATGCAGCGGCCGCAGCCGGGATTCGATCTCGCGACGTGCGTGTCAGCTGCCGAGTACCTTATCCACTAGACCACCGCGGCGGGGCAACGTTATGTGATGAAGCCACCATGACAAGTCATGAAGTGTGATGCCATGTAGTGACGTCACAGCTTCGGCGGCGGCATGGCGCCTTATGGTGGTCATCACGCGATGATGATTTTGGGCGTCCCTCGTTTTGACGCTGACGGCCAATTATCGCGTTTGACGAGGTACAAAGGTCTTTCGTCCTAGAAAATGTGGCTTATAGCGTGCTCTTGCTCCAGTAAGAAAGCCTGCGCGGCATGCCTATGCGGCACTTCGATAAATTGCAAGTTTGCGATGGGTGCACGATTAGAACGTCAGTTAATTCACTGTACTTAGAAACCACCAAATAAAATGAGAAAACAAGGCAAGAATATATTTGCCTGAGCCCATCATGTAATGCCGCGTACGTTTCATCACTGCTTGGTGACCGTAACAAGGGATAGCGGATGGAGTAGAAGATTCAGGGTTGCGGTGACCCCAGGCGTTGTATGTGGCCGCACATGTTTCAAGGACGGCAGTCAGGCCACAGAACGGCTATTCGGCGCAGCCGCAAACAAGACTGCGCTTTAAGAGTAAACGAATGACCATCAATGATCAGAGGCGTACCGGGCAGAAATACATGGTCAGAGGCTATTTTGTCCGCTGTATGCCACAGCAAAAATAAATAATAATAATAATAATAATAATAATAATAATAATAATAATAATAATAATAATAATAATAATAATAATAATAATAATAATAATATAGTAATTCGGCCGCAAGCTGGCTGTTGCAATTATCATAATGTTGCGCGACAAGACATAACCGACACACAGAACACATTTGGCGCATCTACACCACAGACAAGTTAATTAACTGCTGAAAAATACAATTGCTACACATATAGTATTTTTTTTCTGGTTTTACCATTTTTTTTTCATGGAGCGAAGATCGGGTGCTATTTTTCTAGTCTATAATTGGATATAATTCGAGTTTCAAATGGGAAAAAGTGACCGTCGACATTGGTGCCATGTGATGCAAAAAACAAAATACATGACCGGTGCAACAAAACAAAACACGAGCGATGCACAAAAAACAACGTGATGACGTCACAGGTTACCAAAACGCGTATGAGCCGTCATAATACGTCATACAACGTTAGGTCACGACATCATGCAACGATTGACTTAACATGGCAACTCGGTTCAAGGGAGGCCACGATCATGGAGGCACAGCAATACATTTGAGATGGAGTAAGCTTCAAATTTCTTCGATTCCAGAGGCCGGGAAAACCAAGGTGCGGTAGGCTTTCGGCAGAGTAAAAAAAAAATCATTTCGTCTTCTAGTCGTCTTTGGGAAATGCATAAAAGATTATGCGAGCTTTTTTTTCCGGGAGAGGGGGGGTAGGAGAAGGGGCATTGCGTAATTATATATATATATATATATATATATATATATATATATATATATATATATATATATATATATATATATATATATATATATATATATATATCACGGCGAAGCGGAACTAATGACTTTCATTGCAGACTTTAACAAAGTTCATCCATCCATTTCATTGTCACATTCGTACTCGAAGGCATCCATCTGTTTCCTGGATGTAACAGTATCCCTTTGCGGCCAAAATTGTTTACTAAAGTATACAGAAAACCCACCGACGCTCACCGATACCTTCATTTCAAAAGCAGCCATGTAAAACATTGTAAGACGAGTATACCCTACAGTCAAGCACTTCGTTTCAAAAGACTGTGCTCTGAAAATTCAGACTTTGTTGAAAACTGTGATAAGCTTCGTGATGCCCTAACTGTACAACAGTACCCGCCTCAGATTATCGACAACGCGATTATGCGCGCCGATGCAATTGACCGAAGAGCGCTTCTAAAATCAAATAAAGAACCTGCGCACCGGAAACACATCAATTTAATTCTGACACATTCTCCGTCAATTCCAAATGCTAACGCGATCCTCAAAAAGCACTACAACATACTAATGCAGAGCAATCGTCTCAAAGACGTCTTCCCAGAGCCTCCACGAGCAGTTTACCGCCGATCGAGAAACCTACGAGACATATATTACGTCATCCAAACTATCAACGCCAGCCCCAGTGGGGTGTCACCCATGCAACAAGGCACGCTGCAAGGTGTGCCCCCACATGACCACGTCGCGTATTGTTAAGAGCTCTGCGTCGAACTTCACTCTCTGGATAAAAGGCAATTTCGACTGTGACACGAGCAATGCAATCTACTTGCTCCAATGCTCATTGTGTGACCTCCAATATATTGGTCAAACAGAGACAGCTTTCCGGTTGCGCTTTAATAATCACAGGTCACACGTCAGGTACCTGCCTAGCCTTCCCCTGTCCAAACACCTCGCTACCCCAGGCCACTCTTTCGACAACATAACTGCCACAATACTCGAATCTGGTTTCAAATCGCACTACGAAAGGGAAGTTCGTGAATCTTTTCTTATTCATAAATTTAACGCCATAGCGTCTGGAATAAACGAAAACCCAGGGAGGCTTACGTTTTTACCGGCAAATCAGATAAATCAACCGCCGTAGCCCACATACACGTTTGTCCACTGCCGTGATTACGTTGCGGTGTCATTGTTGACACATTAGTTAGTTGACCAGAATGCATGCACACTCTGTTACCACATTTGTGACATCAATGGTGATATTATGCTCATGTATATTTCACTGACAATGAACGTAACTTACCATGGCATTGCCTTTTTTTGTTCATTCACAAATGTTGCGATATCACAAGTGTCCATCATATTATTTGTATGTATGCTTTCAAGTCACCTTGCCCTACCATATTCTGTATAGCGCGCTGCTGCTCCGCTATCAACAAAATGCTGCGCATGTCTGAATATCTTTTTGTTAACATGTATGTCAATATTGCTAAGAGTGATGATTCACAATTGGGGGCCCCCATGCTATGTCTTTAAGAAGTGCCTGTTAGTGTAATATGCACGTATGCCCTGACGAAGGCCGGTCCCCGGCCGTAACGTTGGCAATAAAGCATCGTTTTTCGTTTGCTCGTTCGCTTCTTCTGGTGATATATATATATATATATATATATATATATATATATATATATATATATATATATATATATATATATATATATATATATATATATATATATATATATATAAAGTAAAGAAGTGTATACATAAGGGCTCGTTTTTTCGTGTTTTGACATTATATTAATGAGATCTAGCAGACAAAAGGCAAGTAAAACACTCGGTTTCATCAGACGAAATTTGTATTTAGCTAGTCAGTCAACTAAACTTTTAGCTTATACTTCATTAGTTCGATCCAAACTCGACTACGCATCTATTATTTGGAACCCAAACCAGGCATACTTAACAAACAGACTGGAGGCCTTGCAAAATAAAGCAGCACGTCTTATTACTAAGAAATATTCCAGCACATCTAGCCTAACTGCCATTAAAGAATCTCTACAGCTGCCCTCCCTGGAAAAACGAAGAATACTAGCATTACTATGTCACTTCCACCAGCTCCATCATAGTGCGTCGTCATTTGCTGCATCGCATATCAAACCTGCCCATCGCATTTTTCCGCGTCTAGATCACCCTTTCAAAGTCCTCCCCTTGTTTGCCCGTACTAATCTTCTTCGTCGATCCCCGTTGTTCTTGGCCATCTTTCATTGGAATCGATTACCAGAAGATATTGCCACAATTGATAATCACGATTTGTTTGTAAGCCACTTGAAGTGATTTTTATTATCAGAGCCATGAACCATGTACTATGCTCTTGAATTGAAATGTACTCAACTCATTGTTCTCCCCCCCCCCCTTATGTAATGCCCTTCGGGGCCTTTAGGGTATCTGAATAAAAAAAAATGCCAAGGAAAGTATAGGTGAAGTTATTAGACCGAATGGTAATGTAAATGTGAAGATAGAAAAGTGGGTGAAAAGATAACTTGCCATGGGCACGAACCGAACCTGCGACCTCCCAATAACGCGTTCCATGCTCTGCCACTGAGCTACCACGGCAGCCTACCCCTCAGCCACTTTATCGTGTATCCATGTGATTTTTTTAAAGCGTTCGATGCTCGAACGCCTTAATCGAAGGTCGTATGTTCGATTCCTGCTCACGGCAAGTTATTTTTTCACCCACTTTTCTTTCTGCTTATTTACATTACATTAGTTCTAATAACTTCCCCTATACATTCCTTGGCATCTCATTTTGTGTGTGTGTGTGTGTGTGTGTGTGTGTGTGTGTGTGTGTGTGTGTGTGTGTGTGTGTGTGTGTG